TATGAATGCCTATAGGCATTCATACATATACACCTGTTTCCTTAGAGTATATTCTCAGGAAGGAAATTCTAGATAAGGTTCAACTTTGTTGCTCATTTTACCTGTTGCCAGATTATATTTAAAAAAGAACAACCCATTTTTAGTGATATCAATAAATATTAAATATACCTTTCAAAATTTTACTACCCATGCAACATTGTTTTTAAATAATTTTTGTAAGATTAATCATTTTAATATATTACCTGTTATTTTCATTTCTTTTCTTTAATTCCCAGTATATATTTTTCTGTTTTTAGAAATTGTGTCTCATATTACTTACATATCTAGCAGGAATTGAACATTTTCATATATATTTATCAATTTTAATATATTTTATGGTAAGCTTTTACCAATGAGGTTTATAATGTGTGTCCTATAAATTTTTAGATATTAATTTCTTGCCTTTGCAAATTTTTAAACAAATACACCCATTTTATTAGCTATATCTTTCTTTAGGACTTGTTGAATTTATCTCCTCATTTTATTGGAATAGATATGCTATTTTTGTTCTCTCTAGTTTTCATAAATAAGTGATCTGGTTATAAACTGAAATGCACATTGTGACTGCATTTCATGGTACTTGAAAATAGAGAAAAGCACAAAAGGAGAGGATTAAAATCACCTATAATTCTACCTCTCACAGAAAGCCACTGGATTGTAATGACCAGTAAGGACCAAGGCTCGACCAACCAGAAATCATTTCTGTGGTCAGCACTGACTGCTCCCACTGGAGGCACAATGCCCCAGCACTGACTGCTGAGGTGGCTGTGAATCAGGGCTAGAGAGAGGCCAGAATAGAGAAGCAGGGACTGATCTGTTGCCTCTGTGGCAGCTTTTGATCAGGATTTGCCTCCCTCTTTCTCTTCCGGTTTGGTCAGCAGCCACACCTCCATTTCTCTCCAGCAGAGTTGCTGATCAGCTTCACCTTTCTTATCAGGCCCCATTGATAGTCCCAGAGATGCTGACTGGCATAGGAATGACCTATTAGAACCAAATCTGGGTGCTGTGGGGAGCCAATGGCTGACTAGGAGGCTGAGTTTTGATGCTGACTGCATTGAAACTGACCAATCAGAACCAAATCTGGGTGCTCTGGGGAGCCAATGGCTGCCTAGGAGGTGGAGCTTTTGACACTGGCTGGCATAGAAACCAACCAATCAGAACCAAATTAGCCAACAGAGGAGGGCAGTTGGAGGTGAGATCAGGCCAGCAGGGAAGGGTTGTTAGGGCAGGCAGGCAGAGGCAGTAGGGGCAACCAGGCCAGCAGGGGAGGGCAGTTAAGGGTGATCAGGCTGGCAGGCAGAGTCAGTTAGGGGTGATGAGGCAGGTGAGCAGTTATGCGCTAGCTGTCCCAAATTGTGAGAGGGATATCCAACAGCTGATTTAGGCCCACCTAATCGGCAGTTAGACATCCCCCTAGGGGTCCTCAATTGGAGAGGGTGCAGGCCGGGCTGAGGGAACCCTCCCTTCTGTGCACAAATTTCATGCATCAAGCCTCTAGTCCTATGTAATAAAAGCCTAATATATAAATTGTCCCTTCAACTGTGAATTTGACCACTCGCTATGATGTGTGCTGACCACCAAGAGGCAGCATAGAACATGGTGGGCATCAGTGACACGGCACTGACAGTGGGTGGCTGTGGAGATGCTGCTGGCCCTGATGGGCCCCAATGAGAGCAGGACTGCAGCAGGATGGTGGAGCAGGTAATAACATTTTCATCGTCCCAAACTGAAACTGTGCCCACTAAACCATAACTTCCTGTGCCCCCTTCCCCCAGTCCATCTTTTTGTCCCTATGAGTTTGCTTATTCCAGGTAACTCATATTTGGAATCATACAATATTTGTCCATTTGTAACATACTTATTCTATTTAGCATAAGGTCTTTAAGGGTCATCTATATGGTATATCTGTCTAAATTTATTCTTAAGGTTGAATAATATTCCATTGTATGTATACATCACATTGTTTATCTTTTCATCTACTGTTGGATACTAGGTCTTATTTTGGTGATTTATTATACTATAATATACATGAAGTTAAGTACATGAATATATTTTTTGTTATTTGTTTCATTTCTTTTGCTATTTTGTTTACAAGGCATGATTATTAGTGTTCACTGCTTTAAGCAATCAGTGGTCTTTTATATTTAGACTTTCCATTTCCTTTGATTTTTTCTGCATTTCTGTTTCTGCCTGTGGTAATTTTTCTTCTGCCTAAAGAAATTCCTTTAGTATTTATTTTAGTGTATTTATCTAGACAAATTTTTTGCCTTTGTGTGGCTTTGATATCTTTAGTTAGTTTTGAAAAAAATTTGGTCATTATTTCTTTAAAAAGTTTCTGTTTCATTTTTGACTCTTGTTCTTAGATTCCAGAGCTTTTCATTATATCTATTTCTTAATGCTTTTTCAATATTCCAGCCTTTATTTTCTGTGCTTTAATTTGGATATTTTCTACTGATTTACTTTTCAGTTCATTAATACTCTCTTCTGCTGTGTATTATATGCTATTAATCCCATCCATTACTTTCCTAATTTTAGTTTTTGTATTATTTAGTTTGGAGATTTGGTTTGATGATTTTTCATACATTCCAGGTTTCCAGTGAAATTCATCTTCTAAATTTATTTTTGGATATATTAGTTTATAAAATAGTTTATAAAACAGTTTATAAAAATTCTGTCTAATATCTCAAAAATGTGAATTGTCTGTGTTTTAATATATTTACATTTTAATGAATTTTTATTGTATTAAATATGTATGTAAAGTAAAATTTACCATTTAAAACAAACAGTTCAGTAGCACTAAGTACATTCACATTGTTTTGCAACCATAACCACCAACCATATCCAGTATATTTTTATCATCCCTAACAGAAACTTTATATGAAGCTTATCTAATAAAGAAGGAATATGCTAATTGACCCTCAGACCATCACAAAGATGGTGGCTCCCACAGCCAATAAGGAGGGAATATGCTAATTGACTGCCACACCCTCAAAGATGATGGCTCCCATAGCCACAAGATGGCAGTGCCCAGTCCCCTCAGTCCCACCAGGGTGGCAGGCACACAGCAAGGCTGGATCTGCCTCCAGGTGGGCCTGGCTGCTCCATGAGCCTGCCTCCTGAGTCCCCCAGTCCCCTCAGCCCCCCAGCCACCCAGGGCCAGCACGAGGCGCAGATAACCAGGTCTGGTCGAGGCTTGAGCTGCTGGCAGTGGCAACAGCAGAGGTTTGAAGGAGTGTTGCCTTCCCCTGATCACCAGGTTGCCTCCTGCCCCTGAGGGCAGGCCGGGCTGAGAGACTCCCCCCTCCAGTGCATGAATTTTCATGCGCCTGGCCTCTAGTTAAACAATAACTCTCTATTACCCTCTGGCAAAACAAACAAACAAACAAACAAAAAACCCTTTTATCCTTTAATAGCATTGAAATATAATTGACATGTAACATTATGTATGTTTTAGGTATGTGAAATGTATAATACAATAAGGTTAGTTAACACATCTTTCCTTTCACATAACTGCCATTTTGTTGCTGTTATGGTGAGAACATGAAACTGTACTATCATAGCAACTTTCAAGCACACAATAAAATATTGTTAACTATAGTAACCATGCTGTACATTAGATCCCTGGGACTTATTCAGCTTACAATTTAAAGTTATTACCCTTTGACCAACATTTCCCTATTTCCTCCATCCCTAACCCCTGGCAACCACCATTATACTATGTTTCTGTGAGTTTTCTTGAAATTGAAGAGACTTAGTATGTGTCCCAATATATGGTCTATCTTTGAAAATGTCCCATGTGCACTTGAAAAGACTACATATTCTGTAGATTTGGGGTGAAATGTTCTTAAGGTATCAATTAAGTCTATCTCATCTAGTGAGTCATTTAAGATTCCTGATTCTCTATTGATTTTCTTTGAAGATTTATCCAGTGATATCAATGGGGAGCTGAAGCCTGATGGGAGGTACTATGCCACTCACTACCAGAGTACGGTGGTGGTTTCACATGGGTTATGGCTAGAAAGCAGCATTCCCTAGGCATCCTCCTCCCTTCGTTATTGAAAATTGTCTCCCCAGCTGTGTCTAATTTGTTAATTTAGGGTGAATGTTCTCTGATTTGGTTGCTTTTCTGGCCTGGCCCTAGGAGGAGGTCCACAACATGGCTACCTATTTGGTCGCCATTTTCTCTGTCACCCTTAGCTGCTAATTTTCAGTATTATGCCATTGAAGAAGATCAAGCTATACTCTATTTATGTTCCTCAGTTTAGCATGCCATATTTATTTATTTTTAAATTCTTTATTGTTGAAGTTACTACATATGTCTCCTTTTTCCTCCATTGACTCTCACAGCCTGCCCCTTGACTGCACCCCATGCCTTCATCCCCCTATTGTCTGGGTCCATGGTTATGAATAACAAGTTCATTGGTTGATTTCTTCCTACCCGCCCAACTTCCTTTGCTTTTCCTCTGAGGTTTGTCAGAGAAAGATATATAGCACATATGGAGAATATAATGAGCAACATAAACTGATGAGTAAAAATAGATCAAGATACATAGAAGTATCAGACTAGCTTGCCATCTTTAAGTTGAAGAAGTTTTTGTTCAGCTTTGTTGAGACATAGTTTACATTAAAAAGTTTGATAACCGGTAATCTTTTGCACTTTTTATGAGCTTTAAAGAAATCTAATTTATGACATTTGGTAATAGAATTCTATTATTCATAGACTATTAATTTTATGTGCATTATTGTCTCATGTGTAGATGATGATGTGGAGTCTTTAGAATAGCATAAAGTTTGTTAAGAGCCCTATAGTGCTTAGTATGATCCTGCAAATGATCTGGACACTAACTTTGAGACACAGAACTTAGTTTGTTCAATCAGAACGTGTTAACTAATATGAAAAAAGTTTGCTGATTGGATTTCTGCACTATAAATATCTTGACCTTTTCTCAATTCTTTCTCAGGGTGTAACAGTAAAATGAAACTCAGTGGCCGACCCTATAGACATATGGGAGTCCTTGGAACATCAAAACTCTACGACATTCGGAAAACTATCTTTACCTTCACTCCACAGGTGTGTGGAATGAGCTTTTCCATGCATAGAAATAAAATAGGAAAGAGTCATTTCAGAAATAAAGTATTTACTTGAGTTTGAACAAGTGTCAGAGTTCCACAGGCCTTGTACATATTAAATTTCTCAGTAAATATTTGTTGAGTTGGACTGAATTGAATTTCTAGCAGAGTTATGCCCAACGATTATAGCTACTAAGAGTAGTCCTGGGTATTGCAGAAGTAGTGACTAGAGATTTTACAGATGTTTGTGTATTTTAAAAAGTACTACTTACTTTTTTATTTGTATTAAAAAATGTAGTCTTTTTATTCAGCTGCTAAATTATGTCTTCTCTTTTTTGGGGGGATAGGGAGTGGGCAGGGGCCTCTTAAAAAGCCTGGAGATCTTTGATATCCTCTTCTAAACAAAAATGTCAATACTATTTTAGCCATGATTGTTTCCCTGATGTTTATTAACCACATTATAATAGTAAGCCCAATTATTTCTAAAGGAGAACAGCATAATATAATGAGACAGAGAAACCATTTTCTGGAAAGAAAGCTTAAGCTCTCCATTTATCATCTGACATCTGAATTAGTGCAGCTGAGATATAGGCAAAAAATATTGGACCATATCTTGCAATTGCTAGCTAAATAACTACTAATCTGCTTCATGTCTATTGGCCTTATTTTTACCTATTAAAAGAAGAAAGGCCCTTATTGGGTTGTTACACAAATATAATTGTGTACTTGAAAACACTTTGTAAATTATAACATACTGTAAAATGTAAAAGTTATCATATGTGTCATTGGACCACCAGAAGAATTAAGAATTATATTTAGAGGTATTGTTGCCTTTATGACATTATATATGCCCTTTTGAATATGAGATTGCTTTAAAATTGCTTTATTTGATAGTTATGAGAGTGAATTATTCTGAGCTGTTATTTTTATTTTCCCCAGTTTATAGACCAGCAACAGTTCTACTTGGCTCTGGACAATAGTATGATAGTGGAAATGCTTAGAACAGACCTCTCCTATCTCTGTAGCCGCTGGAGGATGACAGGACAGCCTACGATCACCTTCCCCATCTCACACACTATGCTTGGTAAGGTTGTATGAGGCATGAAATAAATGTTTATTTGGAAAAAGTCATGTGGTTAGAACTTTAAAATCTTGGAGTCACTGAAGAGCTACTTCTTATCATTTATTATATCAGCAGTTATATATTAGCTTCTACTTTGTGCCAGGCAATTTTCTAAGGATAGGGGACACATGAAGTGAATAAAGCAGATGAGGTTTCTACTCTCATGGACCTTATATTTTATGATAAACTAGAGGCCTGGTGCACGAAAATTTGTGCACGCAGGGGGGTCCCTCAGTCCAACCTGTGCCCTCTTGCAGTCTGGGAGCCCTCAGGAATGTCTGACTAGGTGGAATAATCAGAGGACAGCATGGCTGGCGAGTGGCCAGCCCCACCCTTGATTGCCCCACTGGTGGACTCCCTCTGTGATAGGTGACCAGGCAAGCTGATTAGGAGATGGCACCAGCTGGCAAGCGACTGGCCCCACCCTACTCCCAATCTCCCCACTGCCACTGCTGGTTGTTGCCACCCCCACACACACACCACCATCCCCTCCTTCTGCCTGCTGGCACACAGCTGACCAATCATTCTGCTGTTCATTTGGTTTGCTTTTATTATATTGGATACACAGCAAATAACCCAATACAAAAGATTATTTCAGGTAGTTTGAGAGCTATAATTTTTAAAAATGTAATAAAATAACTTGATTGGGAGCAACTTCAGATAATTGGTTTCTAGGTCAATTTACAGAAACTTTGTAAGTACAATTCATTTACAGTAATACTACATTCTTCATCTGTCTTACTCCAGTGAAGCATCAAGATTTTAGAGATAAATTCCAAGAAATCTCCCTCTAAGGCTTATCTAACTGAACTAGTAAAAACTAGCAGGGTTAACATGGGCAAATATGATCTCCCATGCAGTGGGCTTTCTTGTTGTTTTGTTGATGGTTTCTTTTGCTATGCAAAAGCTTTTCATTTTGATGTAGTCCCATTTGTTTATTTTCTCTTTAGTTTCCATTGCCCTAGGAGCTGTATTGGTGAAGAAATTACTTTGTAATATATCTGAGATTTTGCTGCCTGTGAATTCCTCTAGTATTTTTATGTTGTCACATCTTTTGTTTAAGTCTTTTATCTATTTTGAGTTTATTTTTGTGTATAGTGAAAGTTAGTGGTATGTTTTATTTCCCAACACCATTTATTGAAGAGACTGTCTTGACTCCATTGTATGTTCATGCCTCCTTTGTCAAATATTAATTGAGCATAGTGGTTTGGATCGATTTCTGGGTTCTCTATTCTATTCCATTGGTCTATATGTCTGTTCTTGTGCCAGCACAAGGCTATTTTGAGGACAGTGGCTTTATAATACAGCTTGATATCTGGTATTGAGTTCCCACCTACTTTGTTCTTCTTTCTCAAGATTGCTACAGCTATTCGGGTATTATTATTATTATTATTATTATTCCAGATGAATTTTTGGAGAGTTCTTTCTAGATATGTGAAATATGCTATTGGTATTTTAATGGGGAGTGCATTAATCTATAGACTGCTTTGGGTAGTATGGACATTTTAACGATGTTGATTCTACCAATCCATGAACATGGTATGTTCTTTCATCTGTTTATGTCTTGCTCTATCTCTTTTTTTCAGTGTCCTGCAATTTTTCCATGTATAGGTCTTTTACCTCCTTAGTTAAGTTTATTCCTAGGTATCTTAAATTTTTTTGGTGCGATGGTAAATGGGATTGCTTTTTTTACTCTCTTTCTATAAGCTCATTATTGGTGTATAGAAATGCCCTAGATTTCTTGACGTTAATTTTGTATCCTGCTACATTGCCAAATTCATTTATGGGGTCTAATAATTATTTGATGGCGTCCTTAGGGTTTTCTAAGTACATTGTCATGTCATCTGCAAGTAAGGACAGTTTTACTTCTTTTCCAATTTGAATGCCCTTTATTTCTTCTTCTTGTCTAATCACAATGGCTAGTACTTCCAGTACTATGTCGAACAGGAGTGGTGAGAATGGGCATCCCTGTCTTGTTCCTGTTCTTAGGGGAAATGGCTTTAGCTTTTGCCCATTGAGTATGATGTTAGCTGTGGGTTTGTCATATATTGCTTTTATTATGTTGAGTTATGATCCTTCTATTCCCACCTTGCTGAAAGTTTTTATCAAGAAAGGGTGTTGGATTTTGTCAAATGCTTTTTCTGCATCAATTGATAAGACTATGTGATTTTTATCTTTGTTTATGTGATGTATCACATTATTGATTTGCGGATATTGTACCATCCTTGCATTCGTGGGATGAATCCTACTTGGTCATGGTGTATGATCTTTCTGATGTACTGCTGATCCGATTTGCTAGAATTTTGTTGAGGATTTTGGCAACTATGTTCATGAGGAATAGTGGCATGTAATTTTCTTTCAATGTGTTGTCTTTATCTGGCTTTGGTACTAGGGTGATGCTGGATTCATAGAAGGAACTTGGAAGTATTCCTTCCTCATGAATTCTTGGAATAGTCTGAGGGTTTAATCTCCAACATTTACAGGGAACTCATACAACTTAACAAAAGGAAGATAAGCAACCCAATAGAAAATGTGCAACAGACCTAAATAGAATCTTTTTGAAAGAAGACAGAAGGAAGGCCAAGAGACATATGAAAACATGCTCAAAGTCACTAATTATCTGAGAGATGCAAATCAAAATGACAATGCGATACCATCTCACACCTGTCAGAATGGCTATTATCAACAAATTAACAAACTACAAGTGCTGGCGAGGATGCAAAGAAAAAGGAACCCTTGTGCACCCTGGTGCCACCACTGTGGAGAACAGTATGAAGTTTACTCAAAAAAACTAAAAATGGAACACCCATTTGACCCAGTGATCCAACTTCTAGGAATATATAACAAGAAACTAGAAACATCAATCAGAAATTATATATGCACCCCTATGTTCATAGTGGCACAATTCACCATAGCTAAAATTTGGACAGCCTAAGTGCCCATCAGCAGATGAGTGGATTAAAAAACTGTCGTACATCTTCACAATAGAATACTATGCTGCAGTAAAAAAAGAAGTATTCTTACTATTTGCAACAGCATGGATGGAACTGGAAAGCATTATGCTAAGTGAAATAAGCCAGTCAGAGAAAGATAAATATCACATGATCCCATACTCATGTATGGAATATAACGAACAATATAAACTGATGAACAGAAACAGATCAGGAAACAGAGAAGCATCAATCAGACCATCAAACCTCAGAGGGAAGGTAGAGGAGGGTGGCAGTAAGGGGGAGAGATCAACCAAATGACTTCTATGAATGCATATAAAGTTAATCAACGAACACAGAAATCAAATACTGAAGACATCAGTGGGGGTTGGGAGGCAATGGTGAAATATGGACACATATGTAATACCTTAATCAATAAAGAAATTTAAAAAAAACAAGTTGGAAAATTTATCAAAAAGAAATGTAAAAATAATTGATGATTGTTCACTATGGTCCTTATTTTATGGGAAAACTGTATAAATATCTTTCAATATTAAATATAATAACGGACTGTAAGAAAATATAGCAAGGAAAATGAAAAGGCTTTCCACTTATATTTCCTTTATTGTCTGGGCTTCCTGACATTACTCACTTAAAACTGGGTGATAGGCTTTATTGTTTTCAGTTCCTGAAGTAATACAGTCAATGATGAAGCATTGTTTCCTTTCTGTGTTTCTGTTGTTGCTTCCAAAAGCCTATTTGTATTTCCAAAGTACATAGAATTTTTTTTTATTAGAGAAGCACCCATTGTCATAAATCATTCCAAGTTCAGACAGACTGTCAGGGATTTTTATGTCACCTCTTAAAGTGCTTCTAAAGCACAGGAGTTGAAGAAGTAGGGTATTCTTTCTTCTTGTCTTTCTTATTTATTTAAGACAATTAATAAGTGCACATTGCAGTCCTGTGCCACACGGTATAGAAATCTCCTAGTGGGAGATTTGCCTCTCCCTTTTGGCGTTTCAGAATGAAGAGCCATCTGCAACTGTAAGTAAGAAACCAAGATGCAGTATAGGTAAAATGCCTAAACTGCAGCTTCACACAACAATTTCAAAAATACAACTAAAAGACAAAACGGACATCATCCAGAACCACAGGAAAACTGACTGCCTGGAAATTCTACAACTAGAAGGAAAGAGAAAATCAGAGGAAAATCAGAGCAACTGTAAAAGCCTGAGGTATGGAGACACAAGTGTGTGCATTCAGAGAGGACAGAGCCAGATAGGAGGGGTCGGCTGAGAGCCTGGCTGGCGTTCTTTAGCGGGAAGGATATAAAAGCTCTGGATTGCGCTGAACCCCAGTTCTGTCTGCATTGAACCCCAGTTTCGGGCGAGACCCTGGGGACCCAGGCTCATACAGAGGAAATCTGGGCTGTAAGGCACAAACTCAGGGGGGGCGAAAGGCAGAGCTCTAGAGGTGCGCATGTGAATTCATGCATGTGAATGCACGCAGAGGACAGACTGTTGACTATGCTGCTGGATTGCCCTAGCAGGAAGGAGACAAAAGCTCCAGACTGCACTGAGCCCCAGTTCTAGGCTAGAATCTGGGAATCCAGATTCATTGGGGGAGAGTCTAGACTGTCTGGCAGCAGGCGAAACTCGAGGATGCCTTTCTCTCAGAGGTGCTTGCAGTGAGTACCAAGGGACACTGAGGTACACTGAGACTCAGGAACCTCATAGGGCTAGGCTGATAAGAAGTCAAGGCTGTAGGCTCCATCCTGAAACTCCACTCCATCCAAGCTGAGCACAGAGGTTTTTGGAATTTTGCAAGTCTAGTCTAATAAGGCTGTCTCCCAGCATAGACACAGCTGATCCTCACAACCAGTTGGCCTAGAGGTCAACTCCTCCCTCTGATACCAACAACAATAATCAAGACTTAAGTACAATAAGGCTGTACCCATTTGGGAGGAGGGAGGCATGTGCAGAAGGCAGGTGATTAATGTTGTTTCTCTCTCAATTATGTTTCTATCTAACC